TTGTGGTGACCCCCAACCATAAAATTATTTTCATTGCTACTTCATAACTGTAATTTTGCTACTGTTATGAAACTTAATGTAAATATCTGATATGCAGGATGTATTTTCATTGTTACAAATTGAACATAATTAAAGCATAGCAATTAATCACAAAAAATATGTAATTATATATGTGTTTTCCGATGGTCTTAGGCGACCCCTGTGAAAGGGTCGTTCGACCCCCCAAAGGGGTCTCGACCCACAGGTTGAGAACCACTGCTCTAGACAGAGTAGGAATATTCCTACCTAAACCCGTTTTCACACATGGTCAGTTATATGTTGCTTTCTCTTGAGTTCAAAGAGCATGAGACATTAAAGTTAAAGTTCTAGCCCTGACCAGTTTGGCTCAGTGGCTAGAGTGTTGGCCTGTGGACTGAAGAGTCCCAGGTTCGATTCCAGTCAAGGGCATGTACCTTGGTTGCGGGCACATCCCCAGTAGGGGGTGTGCAGGAGGCAGCTGACCGATGTTTCTCTCTCATCGATGTTTCTAACTCTCTATCCCTCTCCCTTCCTCTCTGTAAAAAATCAATAAAATATATTTTTTTAAAAAAGTTAAAGTTTTAAATACTTCATCACAAGGGAAATTAGTCAAGCACTCTGAAAGTGTTTTCACTCTTAATGTGGTGTACAGAGAGATATTAGAATAAGTTTAATCACTTTATCAGTCACTGTTTGCATCACTGTTATTTTTATATCATGTTTTTGTTGTTTTCATATCATGTTTTTATATCATGGCTCTGTTGTTGTTATATTCTTTTGTTACTGTTTATTTATTGATAAATTTATAAATTATTTTCATTTACATTTTACTAATTTCCTTTCATCTCTCACACTTCTATTATAGAGAAAGGGCAAATAGCAACATTAAAATATTTCCTCTAATTCCCTTTTAAAGTGCACAAATTTCATGCACCGGGCCACTAGTTAACATTATAAAAAAGATAGTAGCATTTTGAGTTCTTGGTGTTTAATTGAACCACACAATCAATACATTTATAAAGCTAACAATCTTTTTTGGTGGAACCTATCAAAGTTTAGTGATTGTGTGTGGTAAGTTGAGACTTGACTTCATACCCACATACTTTATTTAAAACAGAGAACTGTGTCTACAGTGAGGATGCAATGAGTATTGGGTTTGTAACACTTTTTCTTTCTGGTTACCAAGATTGGGGACGAGAAACATCTAAACACTTCACCTAAATGCTAGTAATCTTATTAAACTATAGAGATATGCTTCTACATATTACTCAAATAAAAATGCAATGTTAGGATGATTTAAGTAATAGGGAATATTGAAAACTATTTAACAAAATGACAACATTTCACCAATATTCCTCCAGAACTCAAAGGAATTTCACTTACAGAAGTCATTCACTTTATAATTGAAGGATTCCTTCAATTCCAACTCAAGCCATCTTACTCAAGTTCAGCAATTTGCATCTGTTTCTCTCAAGACAGAGAGAACCGTAGGGGGAAAATCACTTAACTACATTTGCAGCCTCAGCCTTTCCAGACACAGCAAATGATCACCCATCCAAATTAGATCAGAGAAGGGAGCAGAACATACTTTTAAAGGTTTTTGAAGGGTCTCCAAGTGTTAAATCAGAGGTGAGTGATGGAATGCAAAAAGCCTGCACAGGACCTTTTCATGATAGCAAAGTGTTTTCCAAATAGACTTCCTCAACTAGAATCAGGCATTTGTAAGTTTGATTCCTGTCACAGAGCAAACAAACTTATGAATCTGCCCTGGACTAAAAGCAAAATGTTCACCCTTCTCGTCCCCTCAAAGAGAAGCTTGTCCCATTCTCTAGGGAACAGATGGCTCGCTGAGGGCCAGGAGCGGGTCCCTTGGCGCATGTGCAGATGACTTCAGTTCCACTTCACCAGAAGGAGGTTGCAGGGCTACCCTTTGCTCCAGGAGATAGGAGGGAGATTTTCCTGTTGATTTATATAAGGTTACGTTCTCAAAAGAAGACACGAGGCAGCTGTTGGGGAAAAGCCTGTCTCAAGTGCATCCCTGATGCACAATGTTGGTGTTGGCACTGCGAGGGATAAAACACGAGTCCAGTCCAGTTACCATAACAAGCAGAGAATTGGGGACTGGAAACCACGCCAGTGAAAAAGGCGAATCCTTTGATTTCTGTCCACCCTTCCCCCTGGTTGTCACTAAACCTCATAAAAGTAATTCATCTTGGGTTGTGCATCCTTCCAGATAGTGTATCTGGTCCCTATGAAAGATGATACTGTGGGGTTTTCAAACCTTTCAAGAGTGTTAATTTTTCTTACATTTTCCAGATTTCTGCTTCACTCTGCTCCATGGCATACCTGCTCAGGTCTGAATGTTCTCCCTGCCCCCCTTGGTTTCTCTAAAATAAATATGACTTGCCCTGACTCTGTCCTGCTCCTTCCTTCCGGGATGTGGCTGGCTGCCATAAAGTTAAGGGTTGAGATCAAAGGGAGGCTGCTCCTACGCAAGAGAAAACAAATATTGTCAGCTGCACTCTCTCTCCTGTTATTTGGGACCATGTGATTCGGAAGAAGAAGGCTGCAAAGATTTGGGGGTGCTGCCTCCTCTTAATGGTCTGAGTAAATGAGGCTGGCTGCCAACAGAGGGAAGGAAATCATTTTCTGTTGAGATTTATGACCAGAGTCTAGTGTAGCCTGTTGGAAAATTACTAAGAGACTGGGTGCGAATCTTGCTCTTCCCTTTTGATAAACAAAACTCAGAAATTCAAATATACAGGATCCTCTCATAACACCTCTGTAACAAAACAAGAAGAA